GACAGTCCCATTTGGCATCTATTCTGTAGAAGAACAAATGAATAGTTTTTAGCACCAGTATATTAAAAGACCTTGAGAAGACATGAACATATAAAAGCACCAATGCATGCTCAGTCGCTCAGTTGTATCTGACTCTGTGACCCCATGAACTGTAGCCCACCAGGCTCCTCTGTCCATAGGATTCTCCAGGCAAAGATACGGGAGTGAATTGCTATGCCCTCCTCCAGGGGATCTTCCCAACCCAGGGATTGAACCTGTGTCTCTTATGTCTCCTGCATTGGCAGGTGAGTTCTTTACCACTAATGCCACTTAGGAAAACAAACAAAGAAAAACCCTTTTAAAATAAAAAAGTATAAATTTGCTTAAGGGCCAAAATTTTTTTTAAAAAGCTGACAGAGATTTACTTAAGATGTGGACTGATTAGACTAAAATATTGGAATATTGGAAAATAGAGAAGAAACCTGTTTCTGTTAGACATTTGAAAAATTTGCTTGAGTTTTATGTACATTGTTGCTGGTTTTCCCCCAAGCAGGATGAGTCAGGTTGGGTGTGGATTTCATGATTTTTTGCACAGGATATCTCCCTCCATCACAAATTTTTGAGGCATGGCTTTTAGAAGTTTTCTGAAGAATTCAAACAATTTTTCAGCATCATCCTATTGCCTGCCGCACAGGTTATTGGTGGATATTTGTTGAAGACATGTGTCTCCATGTGTTTCCTCTGCTTACTTACTCAACCCTCTGCACTTTTCCGACAGATTTCAAAGTAGAAAAAGAAGGGAATGAATAGTGAAGTGTAAAGAGGGTTTATATGATTCTGAAAGTCATGGAATTTTATGTTAAAATTCAAAATGGCTATGGAGTCTATACTTGATATTTGGTCTACACTTTAGATCAAATTACATGTTCTGGGAAGTGCTGACATCATAGGATGGATATCTATAGGCCTGGATGATTCTGCAGCAGTTGAGTGATACCTGAATGCTCCTGTCAATCACCTAGAACTAGAAAACGTTCAGGCCACAGTCCTGTGTAAGCAGAGACCAAATCACCAGAACATTTCAGAAAAGAGCTCAGTTCTTTAAAATCTTCCCTGAGAATTTCTAGAAAATAAGGTCACTGGGAAATTTCCAAAGACAGACATGCTACCTCATCCTCACCTCATCCTTGTCCTGATGAAATGCAGGTGGGATGTCTGCAAGGTGGGCTAGAAAAACACCATCCCTTGGTCTGTGTTCTCCATTTTTCCTGTGTATTCCTAGGTTGAATGTGATAAGGTGAAGTATACTTCCCCCCTCCACTCCTCCACTTTCTCCGGACGTTCTTGCTTGGAAATTCTATTTCTCCTCCTCATCTTCCACACGTTGGTCCCTTTAAACAAATAATCTCTCATTTATCCAAGAAAAATCCTGGATTATGATATGCACTTTCCTTATTTTTACTGAATAAGAGGACTGAAGTATTACAAATCCTACTAGTTTATCTTGTACAGCTGAAGCATTATTAATAAGAGGCATAATTTGTTTATGTAGATATAGATTTCACTCCATTTCCTCTTTCTATTTCATCTGGAAACTGGGAATTCAATGACTGTTCTCTGACTAAAGCTTACATGGTTCTACCAACACAATTCAAAGCAGGCATTAGCTTTAAAGATCCTATATAATAAATTTTAGTTCTGTTTCAAATACCATGAACCATCCAAATAAACTTTAGATGATTTGCTTAAATGTTCTCTTTCAGGGTATTTATTTAAAGTGTACTATAGTTAATGTGCTATGTTATACTTGATTAATGTCCAATTAAATACTCCAAATTATAAATTTGGCATATTTACACAGGAGTTAATTTTCCTTATAAAATAGGGTACATAGTTTTATTTCAGTCAACATTTTTCATGTATTTTATCTTTGAATTATATTATCAAATTGCATCATTATTACTGAAGGTGCACTGAGCTGTTAAATTTCCATTATGTAATCAAAGATGAAGTCACTATTAACATCCAGCTTAAACTCTCAGCTTCAACAGACATATTAATTACTCATTTTTGTTTTTCATTTTCTTTAATGTACTTCTGGGGACTTCCCTGCTGGCTCACGGGTAAAGAATCTGCCTGCAATGCAGAAGACACAGGAGACATGGGTTCTATTCCTGGGCCAGGAAGACCCCCTGTAGGAAGAAATGGCAACCCACTCCACTATTCTTGCCTGAAAAATGCCATGGACAAAGGAGATGGACAGCTACAGTTCAAAGAGTTGCAAAGAGTTGGACCTAACTAAGCAGCTGAGCATGCACATGTACAATATATGGCTGACTCAGTCTTCAAAGGGATTTTAAATGATTTTCATTCTACTCGCTATATCCACTCAATACCCACAATATTGTATATAATCTAATAGGCTTAGGTATTGTCTTTACTTGTTTGTTCTCCTATGTAGACATAAGACTTCAGGGCATGTTGATTCATTTGATAATACATTTTTAAGTGTCTTAATAGTCTAAGCTACTGATTTTTTCACTTCATTTAGAACTGATTCCAAATGAATCAGGCCTACATTCAAACATTCATACTGCATGTCAGGACTAAGGAAAGGTGTTATGTATAAAGAGACTACACTATCTCTTACTTTGATAAACAAACAAAAAAAAGTAGATGATATTCTCAAATGACTTAATCAAATCTTTTGAATGAAGGTTTAATTAATTTTCTAAGATACCTAACGTGTCCTTGGGTGACTTATTATTGGTTTCAGATTTCATCTAAATATTATAAAGGTAAGCTCACTAGTTAATAAAGCTCACTAATTTATAAAGTCACACAACTTAATTACTGAATTAGGAACTTTAATACATACAACTTCATACCAAAGTGTCTTCTAAATTCTTAATTTTTTTAACTCTGTACATTCTTCAAAACTCCTTTCTAAATGTTAAAAAAAAATACTTTTAACATATTAATAGGCATGTTGTGGAATTGGTTTCTGAGGTAGTTATTGTAATTAAATCTAGTCTGTTTCAGTTATCAACTGTCCATGTGCATACTTTGAACAATGTATACAATCTCACCATTGGGGACTCTGAAAAGGAGGGTGTACAGAAAGTCTATTTATTTGGGTGCAGTTGAAAATAAAGGAAAGCCAATGGGACAAGTAATCTCACTCCTTAATAGTTCATTTCTGGACACATGAGAAGAAACCCCCCAATATTTGTATTGCTTCTCAGACTTCTAACTCAACTTGGACTAAGACGTCTCAGTAACCTAAGAATTCACAGAAGTCACAGGAAAATCACTGTGTATTTGATAGGATGAGGGTTGGAGGCTTGGGCCAGTTTTATTTACATCTCCAAGCACAGGTCTTTCCACACAGAAACTGAAAAAACAAAAGCAAGGGATCAAGATGACAGAGCAGGAATTTGTGGAACTATTTCCCACTAAGAGCATATCCGAAAGGAGAAATACTGTGTGACGTTCCTTATATGTGGAATCTGAAAAGTAATGATACAAATGAACTTATTTACAAAACAGAAACAGATTCCCAGACTTAAGAGAGCAAACTTGTGGTTGCCAGTAGGGAAGGATAAGGAGAAGGGATCGTTAGGGAGTTTGGGATGGACATGGACACACTGCTGTAATTAAAATGAATAACCAACAAACAAGGTCCTATTGTAGAGCACAGGGAACCCTCATCAGTGTCATGCGGCAGCCTGGCTGGGAGTGGAGTTCGGGAGAGAATGGATACGTGTATATGTATGGCTGAGTCCCTTTGCTGTCCTCCTGAAGCTATCACAACATTGTGAGCCGGCTATCAGTTCAGTTCAGTTCAGTCGCTCAGTCCTGTCCCACTCTTTGCTACCCCATGAATCACAGCACGCCAGGCCTCCCTGTCCATCACCAACTCCGGGAGTTTACTCAAACTCATGTCCATCGAGTCGGTGATGCCATCCAGCCATCTCATCCTCTGTCGTCCCCTTCTCCTCCTGCCCCCGACCCCCCATACTCCAATACAAAAACACCACCACCAAGCATACATGTGGAGCAAGTCTCACTGAACACTGACTGGAGACTGGGGAAAGAAAAGCCCACGCACAGCCTGGTAGGAAGGGGAAGGATGCAGTCACGCGGGGGAGTGGGCACGAAGAGGAAGCCGATTACGTGGGCAGCGGCCAGTCCTGAGGGCTGCGCGCTTCAAGCCACATTTTGAAGCTCCGGGGTCCGCCCCTGGGAAGATGAGTCCTCTTGGCTGGGTGAAGGGCCATGGGACTCAACCGAGGGCTGTGGGAAGCCTGGACTCCGCTCATGAGGAACGGGCACAGCCTTGCTTACTCCCAAACACAGGGCAGAGAGGGCAGTGTGAACCCGACACACAGAAAGTCACTGGCGGGTCTCCCACGACTGTCTCGGCACGTGCACACCCCAGCCAGAGCCTGGCACCTGCTCTGTTGAAGAATGGGAGCTCCTTCCAGGCCCTGAAAGGGGACCCTTTAACACTCGGCGGTGACTTGTCTGAGGAGACCCACGTGCTGACAAAGCATGAGCCATTACCGGGAAGAGGCACCCGGGCGGAGAGCAGGGGGTAAGGGAACCCAGGAGGACAGCTCTGCCATGTGGCTCGCAGTCCTGGGTTTTATGGGGCTGGGATTACTTTCCAGGTTGTCTCTGGCCACTTACTGTAGTCCTTCCTGGCGGTGCAGACATTGCTCAGCTAAGATGGATTCCAGAGAGGAAGATTCTGGGAGGCGGCTGGAAAAGTGCAGCCTCCTTTTGACCTTTCCCAAATTCTTCTGGTTGGTGGCAGCGCATCAATGCCGTGTTGCTGACCAGGGCCTCCTGTCATGAAATAACTCACGCGGACGGCTGCTGTGGGGCCTGGCCAGGCCGGGCGACTGCAGTCAGCGTGCTTCCCCTAACCTCTCCCGTTCCCCTAGGGCCATCCGGCTGAGGGCTGAGCCACAGCTGTGACGCACACAGGGGTCCGAGCCCTGGCTGTGGGAGGGCCGCTACTGCTGCTGCAAGAGGCAGCGCAGCAGGAGGAGGCGGGGTGACGGGCTGCAGCCGGGCGACCCGGCGCAGGCCCAGGTCCACGCCGAGGGCCCGTAGCAGGCCCTCGGCTCCAGCACCGGCCCTCTCTGGAGTGAGGGTGTCATGCTAGGAGCTGGAGAGCGCCCAGGGAGCGGGCCAGCTGAGACTGACCCTCGGGGCTTCTGCTCCAATGACCGGAGACCCGACCCTCCCCACACGGCAGGCCTGGGCACTGAACAGGGCAGAAGCACCAGATCACTCCCGGCTCCCACCCTCACCAAACAACGCGAGAAGATGAGAAGACGCTAAAAGCGGAAGAGAACAGGTAAGACTACAAAATCAAGCCGGAAACGAGTAATGAAACGGCAGTAAATGCATACTACCTAAGATCACGTCAATTGTCAATGCACTAAATGCTTCAAGCAGAAGACAGGAGTCCCAGTTAAATTCATATCCACCTTAAAGTGATGGAGAACCACAGAAAGGTTTTTAAAAGATACACTGTTTTAATATTAATATATATGTGTATATATATATATATACACACTATTATTATTACTATATATAGGCTTCTCTGGTGGCTCAAGTCGGTAAGAATCTGCCTGCAATGCAGGAGACCCAGATCCAATCCCTGGTCAGTAAGATCCCCTGGAGAAGGAAATGACAGCCCACTCCAGTATTCTTGCCTGGAAGATCCCTTGGACAAAGGAGCCTGGTGGGCTACAGTTCAAGGGTCTGCAAGAGTCAGACAAGACTTAGTGACTAAATCACCTACATACACACACACACACACACACACACACACACATATATATATATATATATATATCTGTTCAGTTCAGTTCAGTTGCTAAGTCATATCCGACTCTGCGACCCCATGGACTGCAGCATGCCAGGCCTCTCTGTCCATCACCAACTCCTGGAGCTTGCTCAAACTCATGTCCATGGAGTTGGTGATGCCCTCCAACCATCTCATCCTCTGTCGTCCCCTCCTTCTCCTCCTGCCTTCAACCTTTCCCAGCATCAGAGTCTTTTCCAATAAGTCAGTTCTTCTCATCAGGTGGCCAAAGTATTGGAGCTTCAGCTTCAACATCAGTCCTTTCAATGAATATTCAGGACTGATTTCCTTTAGGATTGACTGGTTGGATCTCCTTGCAGTCCAGGGGACAATCAAGAGTATTCTCCAACACTGCAGTTTAAAAGCATCAGTTCTTCAGTGCTCAGCTTTCTTTATAGTCCAACTCTCACATCCATACATGACTACTGGAAAAACCATAGATTTGACTAGACAGACCTTTGTTGGCAAAGTAATATCTCTGCTTTTTAATATGCTGTCTAGGTCGGTCATAGCTTTTCTTCCAAAGAGCAAGTGTCTTTTAATTTCATGGCTGCAGTCACCATCTGCAGTCATTTTGGAGCCCCCCAAAATAAAGTCTGCCACTCTTTCCACTGTTTCCCCATCTATTTGCCATGAAGTTATGGGACCAGATGCCATGATCTTAGTTTTCTGGATGTTGCATTTCAAGACAACTGTTTCACTCTCCTCTTTCACTTTCATCAAGAGACTCTTTAGTTCCTCTTCACTTTCTGCCATAAAGGTGGTATTATCTGCATATCTGAGGTTATTGATATTTCTCTCAGCAATCTTGCTTCCAGTTTGTGCTTCATTCAGCCTGGCATTTCTCATGATGTACTCTGCATATAAGTTAAACAAGCAGGGTGACAATATACAGCCTTGATGTACTCCTTTCCCGATTTGGAACCAGTCTGTTTTTCCATGTCCAGTTCCAACTGTTGCCTCTTGACCTGCATACAGATTTCTCAGGAGGCAGATCAGGTGGTCTGGAATGCCCATCTCTTTAAGAATTTTTCACAGTTTGTTGTGATTCACACAGTCAAAGGCTTTGGCATAGTCAATAAAGCAGAAATAGATGTTTTTCTGGAACTCTCTTGCTTTTTTGATGATCCAACAGATGTTGGCAATTTGATCTCTGGCTTCTATGTGTATATTCCTCAGTCTCTAGACCCACCTTCTGGAAATGTTCCTTACATTTTCCTCCAGAAAATGGTTGAAAAAAGCATAAATTTGCAATAGACACTAATATCAGTTCAGTTCAGTCACTCAGTTGTGTCTGACTCTTTGCGACCCCATGAACCGCAGCACGCCAGGCCTCCCTGTCCATCACCAACTCCCGGAGTTTACTCAAACTCATGTCCATTGAGTCAGTGATGCCATCCAACCATTTCATCCTCTGCCATCCCCTTCTCCTCCTGCCCTCAATCTTTCCTAGCATCAGGGTCTTTTCAAATGAGTCAACTCTTTGCATCAGGTGGCCAATATTTCAGCTCCAAAGTTTCAGGAGTTTCAGCTTCAGCATCAGTCCTTCCAGTGAACACCCAGGACTGATCTCCTTTAGGAGATGGACTAGTTGATCTCCTTGCAGTCCAAGGGACTCTCAAGAGTCTCTCCAACACCACAGTTCAAAAGCATCAATTCTTCGGCACTCAGCTTTCTTTATAGTCCAACTCTCATGTCCATACATGACTACTGGAAAAACCATAGCCTTGACTAGACAGATCTTTGTTGGCAAAATAATGTCTCTGCTTTTTAATATGCTGTCTGGGTTGGTCATAACTTTCCTTCCAAGGAGTAAGCATCTTTTAATTTCATGGCTGCAATCACCATTTGCAGTGATTTTGGAGCCCAGAAAGATAAAGTCAGCCACTGTTTCCACTGTTTCCCCATCTATTTGCCATGAAGTCATACTAATATAGATCTTATTATATGCCAGATGCTGTCCAAAGTAAGGTATTAAGTAACCCATATAATCCTTACAACAGCCTTATAAGAGAGTCACTATTAACATTTCCATTTTTACAGAGAGGAAATTGAGGCCCAGAAGGACTAACCAACCCACCCAGGTCATACTCTACCAGTAAGGGTAGAGTTAGCTTTTGAACTCAGCAAATACAGCTCCACAATCTATGCTGTTAACCACTAGGCTACTGTGTCTCCAATACTTACCGAGTTTGCATATATGCATGCAAAAATCATGAACATGAAATAAATATTCTAACACAAATGCCTGATACTCTTCCTTTTACTCTGCACCTTGTTCTTTCAATTATTAAATAGTAACATACCTTCAAGGTACTTTCTCATCAACACATTCTGATCCACTGTATTCTTAAAGATTGCACAGGATTTCATTATGTCAACATTCCAAACTATACTTAAACGCATCTATATTGATTAACATTAGCAATAATACAGGTTTGGATCATAAAAATAATGCTGCAAGAAAATAATAGCAGAGGAATTGTTCAAAGGAAATACTTATTTTAAATATTCAAAATATGGCAAAATCCTCTGGAGAAATTCAATCCTCAATGGAGAAATTCAACAGCCCTCCCATCTGTCACCCAACATTTCCCCTAAAGGTGAGTTTTCACCAAATTTTGTTTTTAAATTTTCTGCCATATGATAAGTGAAAAGTGATCCCCACAGTATTTCTTAAATAACCTGATGTGATGAAGCATGTGTTTAGGAAAGATCATGCTGACAGAGCACAGAAGTGAGCTTGGTCACACCAAGAGTCAAACCAGAAAGGACAGACGGGGACAGTGACAGAGCGTGCGCGGAACAAGCACGACTCACCCAGAGCGCGGCTGCGAATGTATCCGGAGGTGTGAACAAGGGTGGAGGCCCCAACGAAAAGGCCCGCTGATATTCGATACTGTGTTAGAGATGGTAAGCAAGAGAAAGGATTCCAAAATATCTCAGAGGCTTATGAGTTAGGAAGCCACAAGGATTATAAAGAGAGCAACCGTCCTAGGAAACACGGAAGAAGGCCAAGATTTGGGGGCGTGCCAGAGGATGACAGAAGTTCCCTTACAAATCTGAGATTCTGTTATTTACTTAGAGAAACTGCCTTGCTCTGTGGCAGGGGCTATTCAGAATATTCACTGTATTTAGTGTCAGTAATCCTTGACTTTAGCCGCAACATGAAGACAAAGACACTTACATCAAATTACCCAGCATGTTTATGAAACCAACTATTCCATGACAAAGCATTCCTTTAGCATTCTGCCATCTAGTGAATAATAATCATTGGTGCAACTTGGCCTGTAAAGTGCTCCTTCAGAACAAAGAAACCAGAATTGTATGACCTCTCATCGTGAATCTTTTTCAGTTTCACACCATAGAAGCATAATCTGGAAGTGCCTCACATTTTTTTGATAAATTTAATCTCATAATTATTAAATTTTTAAACACAGAGGAAAGAATGAAAGCATAAAACCTACCAGCTTAATCCTAAAATTTGACTTCGGGCTTTGCTTGAAAATGCTTGCTGTTAGAGTCAGGGGGTAGTTATTGTGAGTTTCTTTTACATTACACTGTCTCTTTCTGTCATGAAAAATAACAACAAAAACATACACACACACACACACACAAAACTTTTACTCATTTGCAACTTTCTTCTCTGTAATAAATATATTTAAATAAATAATTTTCACCCATTACTTGACCTATGCTTAGTAATACTATCAAAAGTTTATCATTTGAAAAATTATCCTACATAATACATTAGAGATTGTATTTAAATGTTACAGGAGTATATTATAAAAAATTTGTTACCTCTATTTTTGTGAAAGTTTTGCTCTGTTTTCCTGAGTTGATTGCTAATGCACATTACATATTAAACTTTATATATACACATATTTTAATTGTTTTTTTTTTGCAAGCCTATCTCCCCAAAAGATCTGCAAATTTATTGACTGAGCAGACAATGTCATATAGTTTTATGTTATGATGTATTTAGTACCTCTTGGTTTTCAATAAATGCTAATGAATGAATGATTTGAAATGATTGAAAGAATTAATAGAAAATGTCTGAAGTGTCACTCATTTTCATTTAAATTATATTGATAAGTGATTTAAAAGAAGCAATCACTGTACTCAGCATCCTTCATGAACCCTAGAAGACATAGACTGGACATATCATCTGAGTACCCACAAGGCCATGAAAATAGAGATGTACAGTCATTAGACAGAATGGAGGGAAGTAGATAAAAGTCCTCCTTTGAAATGTGTCCTTGTCGGTCATGGCAAAATTCCCAGGCTTGTCAACTTATTTCCTTTGTCAGCTCTCTCTTGGTCCATCTGTTGAATTTGAATGCTGAAATGCTCAAAAAACAAGCATGTCTTTATTCTGCATGATTATATACCAGCAGAGTGTATGCACTTGAGCTATTTCAGATTGTCAGCTAAAATTGTTCCCAAGAGTGTTTCATTGCCTTATGG